CATTCAAAAAAACGCTGAAATATACGCTACGTGAATCAACTCATCGGTACAGGGCTCCTTCCCCTCCTCCTCACCCTACCATTCTGTACCTCCCCCTCCCCTCAGTTCATGAGACCTCGGTCGTTTCAACCTTATAAGCAGGATTCCAGCTTCTCTGCTCTACAAACTCATTAGGTTCCACTCAGTTTCAGAGCTGCGGCACCTTCTCCTGTACCTTCGTTTGTGACATCTGCGGGAGGTGCTCCACACCTCTCCTTCTTTTTCTTCACCACGGTTAAGCGGTAGTAGAGCTTGTTAACCAGAAAAGACTTCAACAATCCGATTGTGCTGATGGATCATCCAACTTAAATGTAGGTCCACACGCTAAGGAGGAAAGGCTCTCCATTCTTCACCATGAACCATTACGTGTCACTACTACCCAGTTGATCCGACTGGAAATAACACATCGAGAAGCGGATGCCAGGTGTCTAGTGACATGGGATAAGTAAAAATTGACAAAGTCAACATTCAGTAGTGCCTTGTGGGGCAGATGGCGAAGCAATTCGTCTACACCTGCATCAATTTGAAGGCAAAGGCATGGAATGGAAACCAAGAGAGTGGACGTGATCTACATGCACTAACAGATGACAAACGGCGGAGTGGCGGCCAGACGGACGAACGATTAACCTCAGACGATCACCTTGTTTTGTATTCCACTTCCTTCGAATGCGCCATCGTTAGACTGTTTACAAGGTTTTGACGAGGAATGGCATTTGTGGTGCAGCCTTCGCTAAGCGAAGGGACATGTCACGAGTTATTCCAACATCATTGACTCACTGGTCTCCCACCTCCCGAGGGAGGCATCACTTCATTCGCAGAACACTGCACCTGCTTCTACGTGTGTGCAAGTGTGGTGGACTGGCGACACAACTGCTCTTCCTACACTCCACACGAATGCGAGTAATTACGAGTGAGAACTACCTAACCCTCCGGCACGATGCAACTTGGAATTGGTAGAAGTACCTCCTCCCCTCCTCCTCTGAAGCAGGTGGACCTGGGACTAGTCAGTCAATCATTGGGATGAAAGTCTGACCCCATCCACCTTCTTGCATGATAGTCGGGAACCCGTACCTCAGACCCCACCTCATAGCTCACTGCAAAGCTTAGCCATGAGATCTCCAATTTTATAGTACAAGAGGAACGAGATGTAAAACAACATCGACTCATTCTCATCCATCTTGGTGACGACGTTACCCTGGAGGCATTCCTCTAAGTGCTTATCACCTTGCCTTAGAATCAGCGTTAGACAATCACATGACAAATAGACTGGACGGACGGATAAGGAGAGGAGATAGAAGCGGAGGTGGCTAGAAATGCGTTTTTTCTTCGTTCCGAGTAACGGACCCTCCTCTAAATGTGGCCTCTGCAGTGGGCTTGTGTCATGGTGAGTAAGGCTTACAAATTGCAATGATAATTATTTTAACGAGTAGCATATTTTTGCAAGCTTCCTGCAGTTGTAAGGAAACCACACGAACATACGCGGTTACCGTGTATCTCCTGTAGGTGTAGCTGGAACAGATTCTTAAGTGATACATTTACTATAGTTAAAGTTCCACTAAATGTGCTTTTGAAGCTTCTTTTCACACATTTTTTCGGTGCTCATTCCTTCTACAGCTCTTGTTGACCATGGCTACATTGGAAATAAGGTAAAGCGTATTTAAGTGATTCCTCCATCAAGGAACCACTTGCATCCAATTTGTCTGATAAGCGTTCCCATTTTTGAAGCAACAAGCGTAGCCAGAACGCATCCTGACATGTACGGTAGCTGCTAGAGCCTCCCAGATCCAAACGCTCACTGGCACCAAGTCACGACCTCCTTCCAGTTTTGTGTTAATAACGCCAACGTCTGTTTACTTTAGAAGCAAGTACTGGCCTTAAAACGCCAACTACAGATAAAACTTTCGGAGATACCAACTACATCAATGCCTAGAGTCCTATGGATGGAAATAACCCTGTCAGCCACTGAGAACATCGACACCACTATGAAGGGCAAGGGTTCCGACTGCAAAAGTACAAATCGCACTTAGTAAATTTTCTTACCGATACCAAAACGACTGCATGGTACGTATTTCAAGTTCGTGCAATTACACTTTAACCATACGCTGAGAACTGTGATAAAACTTCTAATTCAGTGCATAACTTAACCATAAATCGCCGATATCTGAGAAAAAACACAGCATGGCATCTGATCAGCAGCAAGTTTTAGAAATCAGTAGATCGGCGCACACAAATACGTCGCATTCAAAAGCGCACAGACACTAGAAAGAGCCGGCTAGTAGCAAGATGATATTGCTCGGTGAGCTCAGAAGAGAGGAGACACGAGGGACGGAGGAGTCAATCCTCGCATCATGGTGAGAGCCGTCTGCGTTGCGTGAAATCGTGGTATACGGGAGCTGTGGACGGTACGTGTTCATCAATGGCAGCCGCAGCGGCGTCTAATCGAATACGGATCTCGTCAGTCATCTCGAACATCATATCACCCTCATCTACCGCAGCCGCCGCCTTCTCAGTGAGTGCATTAGAGACGTGCGTCCGACTGCCACCGCCACCGGCAACGCTGTGTCCAATCAGGCTCATACCTGTTACACCTGGCCGCGGTACTGGAATGGATCCGATGATGGCGTCCTCGTCCGCCAGGCTCTTCTCTGAGTCCTCCGGAGAGGTGGGGATGTGCTCGAAACCATCCTCATCCGATTTATCGCTCGTGCCGTGCGCGTCGTCAAAACGAAACTCGCCGTCCGGGTTCGTGTATGCTGAAATTTGCCATAAAAAGGAGTTAATTATATTCTCATCACTGCACAAGACATCTGGGGATGACAAAACTAACTATATCCTGGAAGAATGAAACATTACCACACTGTAACATTAAACCTTATTCAAGTGGAAAGGCATAGCACTTTTGTCTTACTTTGGGAGCCAAAATACCGTAAATGCGGTAACCTTTTCAACTACACTTATTTCCATTATTCATTTCACAAGGATAATTATATAAAGCGTACGAAAATAGCCTTCAAGTTCGCCGAATGTCAGAGAAGAAAACTGGCGAATTGGATATTAATCGCCAATGTCCCAGTGTAACATTCAGCTTGACGCATAAATGATTTTTAGGGAAGAAAATGTAGGTTACATCACAGTCAACTTCAAGGCTACGCAGGACTTACGAAAGAATTGTTTAATGCCTGCACTATATCTACTGAATGGAACAAATGAATACCCAGGGTTGCACAAGTTGGCCACAAAATACTCGTTTATTTTCATATTGAGGCAGAACTACAAAAACAGTGAAGTCAACGAGCAATTAACATCAGCTCATCATTCCAAATGGTACTGCATTACTACTGGCACTCAAAGAGTAACAGTGGATTTCACACTCAATTCAGACTAAGTCGTGGATTTTCCGACCAAAGCAAAGTATAAACTTAGTTTGTGAATAATGAACAACTACATTGTTTGTTGGATGCCCTGAAAAGACTAGTGCAACAATGACCCTTACATGGAAAGCGAACACACGCTCCCTCCAGCAAACATTTCACTCTATATTCTCTGCTCGATCGCTGATCTCCTCCATTTATCACTGTAAGTCTGTACCATCCGTGTAAAAACAACTTTGACTCCAAACAGACCAATTCTCTACAGGCCAATCAGCTATAACTCGGGTACTGATTAAAAGTGAAGAGACAGCATGAATGAATTACGTTAGGCAAAAGGAGCATTGTGCTGTAGGCATGAACTCGATTTCCCCCTTTTTCCAACAAGTTGGGGTGCATGCATAATGATGCGTAATGTTCGAGCATAAGGCAAACTAAACGCTCAGATTAAATGCCCTAGGGAGTCGAATCTTCATCTACCAATCATTTACTTAATTACCGTGCTTTATCTGATGGACAACGATCCTCGTAAACTGACCACCAGTATTGGTATGTCCCAATAAATTTTAACAAGTCGACTAACGATTACGCATTTATCCTTGCTAACAAAGTTTACAGGCAGTGCTCACCTGCTTTAGTCCTTCATGTAGTGCAAAATTATTCAAATACATTATGAAAGACATGAATAAGAGCTCATCGGACGCTACCAGTTCAAGTGCTACAAGTCATCTAGGCGGAAATGAAAGCAGAAATCCAAAACTCTCGACAACTTGGCATAATTTAGCACTATACTCGCAAAAAATGGGGCACAAAGCAGTTAAAGCTCGGTGTTAATTCAATTATTTGATAGATCCCTGCATGGCTACTCAAATATACCTAATAAAACAGCTCGATGCTTTGTGAAGTGACGTACAATGAGGACTAAATAGAGTGAAATTGATACATAACTTATCCAGTGTGCGAGGAATGACACGGAAACAGTAGTTTACGCTATAAGGCCTACTTGCCTTAGGGTTATCAAAAGACCTAATCGCTAAATCAAATATATTTTTAAATAGACATTTTTTTCTCAAAAATTGGATGATGAAGGACCTGGCGCTTAAAGTAACCGGAGCGTGCGGACATCAGTGCAAATGAAACCTTAGACTCTTGCAAAATATCCAATGCCCTTAAGCCTATCAGTTAAATCTAATCTCGACAGTTAGGATTGTTTTTAAGGCCAGTTTATTAAGGTCATGGAGAAATTATTAAAATACAACGGTTGACGAAATGTTGAGATGAAAAAAGTACCTGGATCAGGCGGCGAGGGGGTGCGTTTGTCTTTGGGAAGGACAAATTTGGCAGTGGTGTTCGGAGGTGGCGAAGGCGTTCTCTGACGCGGCCTGCTTTCTCCTGAGGAGATAAGGAACGCTCCCGAGGCTTTCAACTCGTCGTGAGCATCCAAAGCGGCCTTGAGGAGGCGTTGGTCCGTCTAAGCATAAAAACAACAGATAACGATTTCTAAACGTTGAAGAGGGATTAGAAGAGGAGGCGGAGCTACCTCCATTTGAGGCCAAGGACCAAACTTTTCCAACAACCTTTCCCTCTCTGATGCAGCAGAGATAGGTGCATCTCCACGAATATTTCCAGGAGTCTCTGGATCGAAACGATCAAGCTGATTTTGTAGGGAGGTTACAGGATGAGCGGGAGGAACAAGACCTTGTAGTGTGGAGACAGCAACCTTGCTAGTCAAGTTGTACACTGTCATGAGGTATGCTGCGACCACAGCAACATTAGCAGACATGCCAGATTCACTAACGACGGAGAAAAGATAGAGAATACCGATTTCCCACCAGGCAGGTTAGGTGAAATAATTCTACAAAGTACGATAGTCATATTTACTCGAAATATGACTATAAGACAAAATAGTCAGCAATTCAATAGAGGAAATGGGGTGTTAAATTAAATAAAACAAAAGAGTTGACGAGTGAAGAATCACTAAATTATAGTAGAATCAAAACTTGCCATAAAAATGTACAATAAGGCTGAAAGGGAGACAGTTTGGCATCACAAGTTCGATACGCACCTGTGAACGAGAACATTTCCGCTCTGCATTCGTGCAGCATGGATGAAGTCATTTGTTTGGGGAATCACTCTGAGCAAACACTTACTAGCTGGTTTCCCAACATAGACTTTGAGGTACTCGTATTTAGACAGCTAAAACCCAAAAATTCGACTCAATAAGACAAAAATACTAAATTGCGGTCCTAATTTTGCAAAGGCATTTCAAAGAGAATTCAATTAGAGAAAAGGGTTATTTTACAGTCAAACAATGCAGTAAGATAATGAGAATGAACAGACCAATCATATCAAAACCTTATTCAGACAAAAAAATTAAACTATAACGACCGGAAAATACCCCACACATAAGGCCTGAACTAACAATCAATTTCTTACCTTATTTATCTCGGCTTCGGTGCTCTGAACTGTAAGTATATGAGTTATGCAGTTAGCAATAAGTTCGCCCTCGTCTCTAGCATTTTCGTTACCCCCGATATAAAGATGGGGAAGAACTTTGGTCATATTCCCACCCATCTTACTATTTTCGGACCTGAGCCAATGACGCCAGCTGGCGAACCTAGGAAGGAAAGGAGCACCGAACCAACAATCTGACCTTAAGATATGATATTTAATGAAACCAAACAACCAATTCAGAATTTTTGTAAACACATAGCAAAAGAAAGTAGCAAAGTTTTGTTTAAATATCTTGCATGTACCTAATTAATTGCATAGACTTGTGCGTGTACCTGCATTCCAGATAAAAAGCATAATTTGACTATACATAAATGGGAGTTTGTTATATGAATAATTAGCGCAACAAAGAGCATCTGCATCGCAGAGCTAGTGCTAGCAATTGTCACGTAAACCGTTTGCGATCCGAAGCAAGTGAAATTGGATTAGCTAGGTATACCCCTATTTTACAGACAAAATGCAAATATGCTCCCTTTTGTTTTTTGAAGCTGAAGGTAAAGTAACACCTTGAGGTTCCTTTAGGGATGTGTATTGTAGGTGAGAAACTGTTTTACTCGGCAACTCTCTCTTCCAGTAAGCTTCAGGTCATCTTTTGGCCTTCTTGCATAAATAAGCCAAACTACTTTCTTTAGATTTATTAACTTGCTCCGAGGTTTTAGTTCAATGTTTTTAAATGTTATTAAACAAACTAATATCAAGTAGGTATCCTATGGCTCCTACTGATGTTCTTCTGCACATCATAAGATTTGTATTGGACTAAGATAACTGCTGGATGACTAACAAATCATATTTGCCTCCAGATTTTTTATTTTTTAAGAACAAAATATCACTTAAGCATATTTATGCCTTTATCAGCATTTATTTTATACAATGATGTGGACAGAATAATAGTGAGGGCCAAGATGTAATTGTAGAGCTCCGATTCTCCCCCAAGATATAAGAAGGCACAATACCCCGGCAGAATACATATATTTGACATAGGGTGGGACTTGGACCTGCTAGCATGGACCGAAGGCTAGCCTACCTGCAGAAGGTACAATGGGGGAGTGCCTAAATGCTCCTTTTACAAAACTGTGAGTTAAACGAACAACTAACTTATTGCCACATGAAATTAGAACAAAATATGTATTGTCGATGTTTAGAAGCTATAAGGAGGGAACTATTGGCATGATCTGGAAGTCATGCCCCCCCCCGTGGGAAGTTAAAAACTGACCAAACCATTACAGTAGTATTTTACACAAAAGGCACTATCCAAAACATGACTTTTCTTAAAGTGATGGACTAGAAAATAGATTTTTTATCGAATTTTATGTCCGTAAGAATGACGAGTCGTTTAAGTGTTAAAAATACCGTTACAAACTACTCATGATCGTGACCGTAGTGTAATTGTCAAGTTCAAATTAGAACTTGATTTACTTAGGTCATGCGTTAGTCTAGCCTTATTCACCCTCATGACGAGCTTTCTTCGTCTCCCTCACTGATTTCCAATTCCAATAACGGATTTGCAGAGAAAACAAGGCTTGTTTAAAATTAGGAGGCGCAAATTGGGATGTACAGGCTCAGTAGGGATTAGAGGTTCCCATTCTCTTTAAAGTGAGACAATGACTCTGCAAATATTCTAGAGTACATGTACATATGTAAATTGCTCAATGCGTTGGCAATTTATTGGCAAATTTTAACCTATGTGGAGTGTTTAGGTGGTGCATGGGGGTTTCAGTCGTTTAATTGAGCAATTTGTATTCGATTACATTGTCTACTGTGTTTGACTACGCTAGTCGAGTAGTTTTGTACCCGTATTCCGCACATCGCAGGATCAACGACTCATTTAGACCTATGCCGGCATCCGTTAACTTCTACTCCCCAACAGAGAGCTGTTAATGTGCGTTCGAAAACTCTTCTAGCAAAATTAAGAATCTAAAATAAACAACAAATTCTATGCATTTCGCCAACTAGCCTTTGTGAGTGAAATGTATTCAACAGATATTTGCGGTGCCTTGAACAATGACGCCCTGAACGTTGCGTAAAAGTGCGACCAAAAACCGCAATTCAGGCTTGAAGTCGTCACCAGTTCAAATGCGCAAAGTGGGGCGGTCATAAAAAGGCGCCTCTACATTCTTAATCAGGTCGCTTTGGTGGAAAGGGTTTCATGTGACATACTTCATGGCCACCGATGACTCCAACCCAGAGGACCACGTCTTACCACAACGTAGAAACTCCCTCTGCTACGTAACCCGATTCGGTTCCAAGGTGGAGACCGTGAAGCAAAGGGCAGTCTATGCAGTGACTACAGAAGCCACGCAAACTGATCTTGATGCGGAGATGACGAAAGGTTTCCTTCTCCTCAAACAAATCCTGCTAGAACTTACTAATAAGCGAACGCCTTGACAAGGACATTCGTCTCCTCCAACTATCTTCTCTCCACTGAAACCTTGTAATTCATAGTCTGTTTCTCTGTAATTTATGCAAAATATATCATAGTGATTGCTTTGGAATTCTGTCTTTGTTGTCGATCGGAGCTTTGCAAAGATGACCGTTATAAGGAATGCAAACAGAAGCACTATGTAGTCTTGGTCGAGCCACTCGCGTACCTGCCTTCCTTAATCCTTTACCGATGGCCTATGCTGTATATCATCTTATAAAGAAGAGAGAAGACATGATACTCGTGCAGAATATGCATTGGCGACGTTCAGAAGGGCTTGGTGGGGTACTAGCCAACGGACAGAAATGCAACGGCCATGGGCTTCAGTGTCCGCTCAACCAAAGCGAAGAGTTAAAAGAACAATCAAAGTTTTATATCACAGTTAGCTTTTGTGGCATGGATAAAGCAAAAACCAGCCCCACAATCCGTTAGTGCGAGACCTTCGTTACAAACTTTGTACAGACCTTTGCAACTTTATCGCATCAAATCATTAATTGCAGCATAATACCCCTAAAAGCAAACACATATTTTGACTTTATATTCTGTTTAACTGCATGTCTAGCTACCTAGAAACTTCAGTATCCCTGGCCCGCACTTGGGCCAGGAGACGTGCTGCACTAGCTATTCGGAGACTTACACTGCCCTTTGCACAACCACAATAAATCTTCCGCCTTGGTGATATGGCCTATTTCAACTTTGGGGAAAACTTTGCGTGATGTTTAAAACCCTGTCAACAGCATTTGAACTCATCGGGTGACTGATAATCGCTGCGAAAACGCTGAAAATTACTTGTTTGTGCTTTTTTGCATGAATGATGCAAGCACAATCAGGACAAAATATTTATTAGCTGATTACGTTGTTAAACGACCTTAAACAAGCGTTAATTTAACTGCACCACAATTAGCATCGGTAATCTACTGCTATTACCGGAGAGATATAAAGGCCCCATGCTATTAGTTTGCATAACTAGCTGTGACAGTCTCACTCTTGAAATCAGTTAAAATTAATTTAATGGATAGACAGATGTGGTGCGCAGAGTGAAATTGTACGGATTCAGCGATGGATGTGGAAAAGTTGGACGGATCTACTGCCTTTGATTTTAAGCGTGCGAATTGGTCAAGGGTACTTTGATGGCGCGGCATTGCACAAATTGGAACTATTTGGTAAACTACAAATCATTAACTTTTTTAATTTGTTCCTTGAAGTGCAAACAGTACCTTATCAAATGGCGTGGCACATTCACTGATTTCCTAAAGTTTTAAGGCATCACTGAGCAGAATTGCCTGAGGTTTAAAAAATTTATTGTCGTTTTGATCAGTAGCCTATTTATATAAATAGTGTAAGGATGTGTATTTTAAACAATACGATAAAAATTGATGGAGGATGGGTAATAAATGGGGTAAGAATAGTGCGCTTGTGGTACTGAACTGATTTACGTCAGTTCGTGTTGCTCATGATACATTTTATTTACCTTTATAATCACATGTCACGTTTTGCTCTATTGTTTTTTACGATTTTTATTGTCTTAATTGTTATGCAGGAACAAAATTGATTTCCTTCTAAAGTGTACCAAAATATCTGCTTTAAGGCGGAAGTGGGTCTGATATCTCTTTATAAACTTTATCAGTTATTTATTGACCTGAAGCCGAAGGAATTGGAATAACTACCTTCAGCCGCGTATTCAAATCACACGGCTCGCTTGCGCTGGGTGGCTCGTTTCGCGCGTTAAGGTTTTGGAAGATTGGCTTTTTGATTGCCATTTCTCTCATTACTTGGGTCGAAATGCAGGTGGATGAATCATTAAACTGTTCAACAGTGAGTGATCACCTCAGTAGTTTTTATCCAAATTGATTCCTTATTATTACCATGGTTTATTAGTGCTCTTCTACCTTACTTGGCATTATTGGGTGACAGCGACTGTATCGATAGCTGTGCTGTATTTCGCAAATGAATTACTCTTTGTGCTCAAGTTTTTTTACCCAGGCTTAGCAATGGGCAATTTTACATTGGAACGCTATCTACTGCGCACACCAACTAGCTAATGCTCCATATGTCTGAAAGCAGATTTTTGTTTTGCTTTTGACTCTTTTTACGTCCGGCAATAAATTAGACATCTTGTCTGCCATAATACGATTGAGACGAACCATTTTTTACTTCAGCCTATGGGAACTCTAACACCCACATCTGCATCGATGGCGGTAGACCCTTTATCTTCCTTTGTACAGTTCCAGTCCGCTTCCATGTCACAAATTCCCTGTAATACGCCTCAATTTTCGAATCCCTCTACAGTTTCCTCCCTTGTTCCCGGAGCCGGCACCCCGTATGCGGGTTTAAGTCAGGAGCACTTTGTTCCCCAAGCTCCCGTTTCTATGCCCCACTTGACGGGTGGACTGCCCGGCTCCACTGACCTTCTTGGTCAGCAACAGGCTCTTGCCATCAACCCCACCTCTCTCATGCAATATTTCCGAATTCGCACCCTACCTCTCACCCGGAAAGTCATCCGCGAAGGCTGGCTCATGAAGAGGGGTGAACACATCAAAACATGGCGCCGACGATACTTCATTCTCAGAGAGGATGGTACCTTCTATGGATATAAAAATATTCCAAGAGTAAGCCATATAGAAGTATTGGAATTATTTCTTATGCGTGGCTGTTAGACCCTCATTGAGTTCTGTAAAATCTTGATAAAATTCACCTGATTTATAAGAGTACTTGTTCGCCTTTTTGTTGTTTATTTCATTTATTACTTCCTATTTTGACATTTCTAAATGGATATAAAAGCTCTGCAGAGGTGAGCGGCGTGGATGTTTTCATTTTATTGTAAATTCGTTTAAGAACTGGTTGTTTGCAGTCTTAAAAACTCAATATGTAAATGCTTTGAGTAATTCACTAACATAAATGGTACTACTTTAGTAGAGCAATGTAGAATTTCCCTTTTTGGCGTTCATTATGTTATCGGTGTCCTCTGTTTGAATTCTACCTTTACCTTATCATTATTAACCGGCAATATGATACATTTTCTCCCCAAATCGGAAAAGGATTCCTTACGTCGATTGCAATTGATATTTTCCTCTCATGTTTTCATAACCTTCACTTTGGTGGGGAAGCCTTGTGAGTTTCATTTATTTTTTGTAGGACAACCTAGAGCAACCACTAAATAATTTTACCGTTCGAGACTGTCAGATAATATGCCTGAACAAGCCCAAGCCCTACACAATCCTAATGCGAGGTCTCCAGTGGACGACAGTGGTGGAGCGATTGTTTTTCGTTGAACACGAAGTCGAACGCGATGAGTGGATCAGTGCCATCCAAATGGTCGCCAACCGACTTCGCTCTGAAAATGAGGCACCCACAAGTGTTTTCAAAGTCGATTTCGCTGAAGACGTCGTCATTGATTTTCCTCAGAGGTGGGATATTTTGTAAAACCTATTGTGTGCATGGTGAATCATTCACTCATCTCTGACTAGAACTATGCGTATTTTAAGTAGCTACATGCAGACTTTTGAAATAGATCAAACTGTCTTGTATTCCCATGCCATCATTCGCTAGCCTAAAATGATTAAACCTTAATTTTTAGGCCACCTAAGCGTTACTCCACTGACGACTTTGAGCTTTTAAAGGTGCTTGGCAAGGGAACTTTCGGCAAAGTTGTACTTTGCAAAGAAAAGGAGTCCGGCTGCTTCTACGCTATGAAAATCCTTAAGAAGACCGTTCTAATTGAGGTGGTTTGATTTTTTCTACTTTGTATCAAATTCTACTGAATTCTCTTTTTTGTTTATATTAAAAGTATGTGAACCGGTAGGTTGAGATCACCTTTGTAATTTGACATTCTCCAACGCACTGAAATAAGTTGCATCAAGTGATTTTGTACTTTTTTAGCTTGTAATGCATTGTTATAACTCACCTGTTAAACCGCTTCTCCATACACCCAATTAAATCCCTTGACTCACCAAGCACTGATTAAAAACTAGGTTTTGTTATGCAAGTAGGATAACCTTGTTTAATTCAATTTGATGTTCCCACTTCTTGAAATCTTATTCCAAATCCTGTGCTGCTGTTGCCTCCTTTTATCTTTAAGATGTAATCAACTTGAAATCCGCCAAGCTAAACAAGTTGTCATTCCACTCTGTCATTGGGTGTCAAAGTTGTAGCCTTCTTGACTTCTTACCTAAGCTCTTGGTGTTTATTTGACTTGTGTCCAGGCTCCTTAAACGCAGTTCAGGCCGGGTTGTATTAGGTGCATGGGTTATTTCCGATGCGAAAAACCGTTATCACCTTGAAACCCTAAATACGTCGACACACCCCGCGATCACATGCATCTAACACTGACATGAGTTACGTGGATGCGGTGTTGTTTCGATAACCCTCCCTCCTATGTGGCTGCCGTTTTGGCTTCTGGTCCAAACCCACCAAAGTTATCAACTATTCTTTGGAAGCACATGTTCTCTTGAATGATAGGCGTACGGTTTGAGAAAAGGAGCATATTCTGGGTGGACCTACGATCTTTAGCCAGCCACGCATAGTTTAGTTCTTATCGAGGTCAATGTTCAAGTCGGGCTCTACCAGTCAATTTCCATCGTGACCTTATGCGCAAGCATGTCCTCGAGGCCTCGTGTCTACACCATCGAAATAACTCTCAGTCCAGTCCAAGAAAAAACTGCCTATCTTCATCGGATTTTTATAATTCTCTCCGTAGTTCCGTTTAATTTAATGTTTACCTTGGCATGTATAAACGTGTAGTGGGTTTTGCTCTTTTGGTCTTTTAAACTCAATTAGTCATTAACTCTCTGATTCTAATATTTTTCCATATCTCTTTGTTGTTAGTTCAGGGTTCTACTGAAATTAAATTGTGCCACTTAATCTGCGTTAATAACTTCGCTGTATTCGACAGTTATTTCACTGTCTGGATCAACGTGTTTTTACCCGACGATCATGTTGCTCATACCTAATCCAGGAAGAAGACCCAAGGTACACGTTCTTATCAAAGAGTATTATCATGCCCGTCAGACGTGGAAAGCGCGTCCACGTACGTAGATGAGGCTGGTTTCGTCATCGTCTAGGTAAGCAAACCGGGTAAAGCAGTGATAGTTTACCTGCATCTAAGACGTACAATCTTGGAGCGTTTTGACGAATACTTACCCAAGAATTTGGCATTCTTATTCTATAGAATTTGATCTTTTACCTTCTGTCCTCACGGTGAATTGAATGGGATGGATTTACCTACTTCGCGTTGTGTTGTTGGAGCCGCCGTATTTGAATTTAGGCGTCCTTTCTATTATCACCAAAAGCCAGGGATTATGCAGAGGCTTCATGCAATCGCACCTCCAAGAATATCCCACTGTGGTTCACTTTACCCGAAGGCTTGTTCGGTTTTAACAGTCTTTTTTAGTCTATTTTTAGTGTTACCCCTATCATTAATTGCGTTTACAGCCCCTATAGTGTCTGGCGCATGTCTGCTCCGCAGCAAAATGACTGTGTTGTTAGCATCTGAGAGCGAAAGCCCAAGCTTAGTAGTGCAGCACAACAACCTACATTTCTGAGTATAATGCTAACTTTCCTCATATTAAGTGTCATTGTTGCTCATCGCCTTTTTCAAGAAAGAGGAGGTCGGTCACACACAGACAGAGCATCGGGTGCTGCAACTCAATCACCATCCCTTCATGACGCAGTTGAAGTACTCCTTCACCACACGGGACCATATCTTCTTCGTTATGGAGTACTGTAATGGCGGTGAACTCTTCTACCACCTCTCGCGAGAGCATGTCTTCTCCGAGTCGCGGACACAATTCTACGCCGCCGAAATCACATCTGCTCTTGGATACCTACATAGTCAGAACATCGTCTATAGGCAAGTCATTGGGCGGGAATACTTAAAAATTCGTGACCATTTTCGACGCGTAAACAACTATCCTAAACCACGCCTTTCATCATCAACCGATTCTGATGCTACTAGTCATTCAAAACAAATTGACGGATTAAGCAGGTAGATAGGGTTTGCTCTCTGTAGCCTGCACAGTCCGAATGTTTCCAATTGGTAAGGATCCATCACTGCCTAGTCACCGAACGTGATGCTCATCGGAGCTTTTAGTTTGTAATCTATGATGCTTTCAAACGCGTTCCTCGGCTTGCAGTTGCATATTTTTGGATGCTGGCTCCGTCGCAGATCAAACCGGAGTGTCAATCGCGTTTAACTAGTCATGTTGCTGGTGCCAATCAAGTTTTGTCCTGCCACATTTGGTCCTCTTCAAAATTGAGCCATGGAAGTCCTGAGTTAAGACTCACGTAGATAGCGGGTTCGCCTCAAGCAGGAATATTCAACTTTGATCGTTTTACTACATTTTTTAAATAGTCAGTTTGAAGGAATGGATGCGTTTCCTTTGAATAAGTCAAGTAGTCACGTTTGTACACTGTCATGATACAATTTGTCGTAAACGATTAATGGATCATGACACACAATCGTCCGATACAACGGCTGAATGAATTACCGAAGACGGGATGTTCTTTAAAAGGACTAACGTTCGTTCAACTTCTCATAACCGTGCTTATCTCTACTTGTGATACAGAGACCTGAAATTGGAGAACTTGTTGCTGGATAAGGATGGTCATATCAAGATAACCGACTTCGGGCTGTGCAAGGAGGACATAGGCTTCGGCTCGACCACAAAGACCTTCTGCGGCACGCCTGAGTACTTGGCGCCGGAGCTGCTCCTGGACAATGACTACGGACTCTCTGTGGATTGGTGGAGTCTAGGCGTCGTCATGTACGAAATGATGTGCGGTCGACTGCCTTTCTACTCCAACGAACACGAAATCCTCTTTGAACTCATCCTCCAGGTTCGCATGCCTCCGTTTTTGGTCCTTTTGCTGTGCTCGCGTCCACCACATCAGTTTATCGATTTCCCCCTATAGGAGAGCGTAAAGGTGCCGGACAACCTAAGTCCTGTGGCGCGTGACATCTTAATCCGCCTCCTCATGAAGGATCCAGCCGAACGACTTGGTGGGGGCAAGGCGGACGCCATTGAAGTCATGGTGCACCCCTTCTTCGAGTCTATCTCCTGGGATAAACTGATCCGCAAGTACGTGTCATGCTCACACCGTGGTCAATGGGTGAAACTTATTTTGTTGGTTAAATATCCCCATTTGCTGTGACTGTGGCTTGTCTGCCTTAGTGTCCTAGATCCTAGTGAATTCTTAACCGGATAAGCGGTGGGTAAAGGGTTCTCGGCAGACGTCTTCATTGGCTGCACTGGGGGCTGGGTAGCAGGAAGTGTCGGAGACCAGATACGAGCTCAAAATCGCGCCGAAGTCCGAGTCACTCGGTCAGCTTAGCCACGCTTACTTATAGTGGCCAGTTGGCCTTGGACCTAGAGTGATTATTAGCGTAATTACCGTCCTGCTAACGCGATCCCAGCCAATCAGAGGGAGTCTGGCAAGAGGCGGCTTCTAGAACTATTCACAAAAGTGGGAACTTATGGGGATTTTGAAGAAGAATGTTCTTCAGGAGTTGCAGCAGGCATCCCTGTGTGATGGTTGGTTAATCGTGACATGGAATCTGAATGATTGCTTTATTTTTTTTTAATGTAGGTGTGCGTGTGTGCGCGTTCGCACGTGGGTGTGATGCGTCAACGCGACTTCCTGCAGAAGTGTTTTCCATTCACACGTCAAGTTTCCACTCCACTTATGCGTGCATATGTGAATGTGTCTGGTGATGAGTATTTGAGCCATTAGGGATGCCAAAACGCAGCTCAGTTTTGTTCTCACTTGTCAACTAAATTGCGCCTTTTAAAATACAGAAAACCCAGTATGTAAATTCAGGTAGCATTTTTATCACTTTGCCTGTGCTGTTACCTACAAGATCTCATAGTTCAAGGTAGCATCTTGGTTCCTTCATTTTAAACACACAAAGATTACAAAATGTGGAGTTGAGCAGCATGACAGTCCAAGTGCGACACCACGTTGATCCTATTTGTCATGTTTCTAGTGATGTAGCAGTTACATAAAGGCAATCAGGTCAGTAAGCCAGCCTTGCGGGGCAAAAATAGCGGCGGTACATTTGCTGCTGAGCAATAGCAGTAACAGTGACTTAAATAACAGTATCAAGAAGAAAGGAGGTGATAAAGATCAACATTATTTGCTGTCAGTAATTCATTGTCCTCTGTGCTATTCGATTTGTGGTGCCTTAGCGGATTATTTTCTTAACTAGGTTTTCTTTCTGGATGCGCCTGTCATTGTTTCCTAGCCAGCATGCTAATGTGGCCTAACACCTGCGTCAATCTGTTTACTTCTTAAACTGCATCACTTTCCACTGGCTGGTAATGTATCTCGTCTGCTATGGTGTGAAATGGCAGCATTTGGGATGGCAATTCCAGCAGTTCCCGGTCTGGCTGTTCCCATTTTCGCGTAGCCTGTTGGTCTGTCCATCTCTTCTCATTAGTCTCCTTTCGTATGTCTTCTTGCGGGACTATTTGGGATGCACTTTGGACTATTTATTGATGCGTCCGTCGTTTATTGAATTGACAGGGACATCATACCGCCGTGGAAGCCGGATGTGAACGGTGACATGGATACCAAATACATTCCCGAGGAGTTCCAGAGGGAGAACGTGGCAGTTACGCCACCGGAGAAGAGCGTGTACTCCGACTTCCTTGATCAGCCCTACTTTCAGCGCTTCAGCTATCATGGCAGCCGACAGAGTCTCAGTCGTCAAAGTGTTCTCAGCTTCGGAGACAATGGCTCTATACCTGAAGGCGCCCTTCCCAACTGACTCTCCCACTCTCTCCTCTGCGTGTGTTAGCCTAAAGTCACTTTGCTCTCTGTTTAATTCGGAACACGTGAGCGCAGTAGTTTCGATATTTTTTAAGGTTCATTGTCATCTAGTAGGCGGTTTTATTTTCCAGTTAGAAGGTAGGCGATTCTTAGTCTGTTTTTGCATTTATCCTCATGTCTCATGCGTTGCGTTTCTGGCAATACAGATTGTAGTCTCTTTTCACTACCGTCATCAACTAGCTTTAAAATTGTTTTTTTTTATTTAAAGTGGTGCTGCCAAAGTTACCGAGACCTATCAATTTTCTTATAGGCACTCGTGAGCCATTCTCATTATCCTTGCATCATGTCTATGTTCAAGAAGAATGCGTAACAGTTTCTGGTTTAGCAAAATGTCTATGTGCAATTTAAATGACCTTGTTTTTCTCCTTGATTCTTTGAGGGCTCTCAAGGTGGGTAGTAGGAAGGAGTTCCGTGAATTGGTTCATATGTTGCATTTCATTACACCCTTACCGATAAAGATTGAGAGTTTAAAGAACTGACAGAGTCGGAGTTTACTGTCACTTCGGTAGTTCTCGACCGCCTTTCGAAATTCTACCTTTACCATTTCCTAATTCCAACTTCTTTTCTCATTGCAGAAAGGCGCAAGGTTTGACTGTTTATATCAGGGGGACTTTTGGAGGTAAGGTGCACTGCCGGTGTGTGTATGCATGTATTTTGCGTGTTCTCTGACGAAATCTGCGCGTTTAATCCACTAACTCAAGTGGTAATAGCTCTCAGGAGTCCCTCCGTTGAGTTAATGGAGATGCTAGCAACAGTTTTCAATCCGAGAACCAACGACCCTTACCAACACACACCTCTTTTTTGTTTCTAGGCTCCTTCCCGGCGGACGTGATCACAGGTAGGCTCTAAGACGCTTTGCCTCCAACCACCTTTTTTGCTACTTAAGGGTATTCTATTTGATGTTAGGTAGTGTTTTTCCAGTGCATCTGTACCCAAGGCTTTTCTGAGGAATGTCTTTAAGAGGCTCTCAGATGCCACAAATTGGATGCGACTTCAAGATCAACGATTCGCTGGCTCTATTTTTGCATGTGAATTTACACTAGTGCGAACCACCACAAGCCTGTTCTGTTGCCGGACAACAACAGATGCGTAAGACCGCCTTTTTCTGTTTTGTAGTTCGTCGCATTCAACCAAATTCCCGTGCGTCGCAACTCAGACAACAACCCAGCTTCTCTCCGTCATATATTCGGACATGATTATTTTTCTCCCCCCGGTCAACTGTTTGACTCGTGCCTGCGTGTCTCATTCGTGGAAATCACGGTCATCTCGCACTGTGTATCTCTCTGTCTCTTCATTTCGCTCTCCATCCCTGTGACCTGGCATTTCTCTTGTACCATTGCTGACGGGGTTGTTCGCCCTCTGCTTTCTTCACTACCACTTTGGAACGTTTAAATCTCAGTCCTGAGTTGTTTTGGCAATACTGATATTGCTAATAAAGAACATATATACTGCTGTATCCACTACCTTTTTGTCTCTGCTCTTCCCCTCATCGTTCATAATGTACACGCATGTTCGATCATCCTTATCCTGTGCTGCTGTTTTGCGTCGTTTAACCAGCGAAACTGCGCACTCGCTAACTGTGTGTGTGTGTGTGTGTATGCTTGTGAATTGCCCACCCTGTCACACAGGGGAGGTATAAACGCACACAACAGTTTAGTGATTTATTTCATGCTTTTTTATGAGGATTTGCTTTTATCCCGTGGATTGTCATCTGAGCGTGTCTGCTTTCCACGTGTGTTAACGAGGTTATACTGGACGTGCACAGACACCCACTGCCCTGTAGTTTATAGGCGACCCAAATTCAAACCTCCTAGCTCTTTGGTCCGGTCCTCCCCTCTACAGTCGCCACTTTGAACCATCTGACTAAACACTTGAGTTGGTGCCTGTCATGTGTGGCGATTCCCGTGCAGTGGGTTGACCATGTGATGTGGCTTTGGATTTACTGGAATTGGTGACGCGTCTGCCGCAGTTCCTTCCCCTGTTTTGCCCAGTTTGTCCCTCAAGCGCCATTGATTTATGCCGCCTTTCCAATGTGTGTGCGCTCTAGCTTTCGTGTTTTTCCCTGTTATGAGTTTGGTGTGTGTTGTGGCGTTTATGCATCCTCTGTGTGTGCTTGGTTTCCATGCTTGTGCATGGGAGCTATCTTCACGCGTCAAAACAGCTGCTCCCGCCTCCTGCCACACGTCAACGAGTCTCGCCAAAATCCACAGACGTTATTTGCAAATCGGGCACTCCTATTTTAGTCTCAACAGTTTATCACTCACATTGGCCCTTTTTTATTGTATAATTCGAACTAGATTTTCGTTCTTAAAATACCCTCGCTTGTGAGCCTCGCTTAATGGCCCTATTTCCAATCCGCCTACCGAAAGCACTTGTCTTGCAGTCAAGTAGTCAGGGTTCGGTCTTGTTTATGTTTGTGGGCAGATAGAGCGTATCGTTAGACATCCACTGGTGTTTTGTGCTAGACAGGAATGTATGTCATTTCAGGATACTGCCATTTGCTGTTATGTCCTCATTTATTTTGTCTGGTTTACAAATTCCATAGAGTAAATATTGGGACGCGTTCTTTGAGGAACCTTACCACTGTCTGGCCGTGTAAAGATTTTGTTGTCAAACGTTGTTTTTGCGACAAAACATTTGTTCACCCAGGTTGAAGGCTTATTTTATCACTTGAAACAGGAAACATGTTAAATAAATCTATCACTTCTGTGTTTCGCACTATGGTCCTGGCAGTCAGCGTTGAAGCTGCGCGCTGTCACGAAGCGACAGCGTTGGGGTGTATTGTGGATGCCATTTCTCGGCGTTCAGCTTTCATTCCTTGTGTGCGTATGGGCAAAGAGTGTTTTTCATCAAGGAATCTGTCACTGCGCCAACTCAACAGTTGTTTGAACTTCAAAGGGAGTTGCTCACGTGTTCTGGACCACTTTTTGCGTGAAACATCCTGGTTCCGTTTATCCAACTCTTTAGGCACCCAAAGGGGATCGCTTTTTGCATAATTTATCGTGCGTGATTTATAGCGCTTTAGCTAGTCGTTTGCCTCTTCTCTCCGTGTGTATGCATGTGTGCAATAAATGGGCGTGCATTTTAAAGGACCCGGGTCTTTTTTCCAACTTATTAGGCTGAAGTATATCAGCTGTATTTTCGTGTGTTTTGTTTGAATATTTGATGTTTCTTGCAATCGAATAGAATTTTTACTGGTTCTGCTATGGCTTTCAGATAAATTGCGATGTCGCTCAGAGCCTTTTCAAAACTGCGCATTCTGCCACTCTCCGCACTAAGGTTGGCCCAGGGAAGTGTTTCATTCCTTCACTCCTCAACTCTGCCCGTTCAGTTCTCTAAGGTAAGCGTGTGTGTTTGTTTGTGGATGAATATTTGGGAATAAGTTATGTGAAACGGATAGTTCTTTGTTGAGGTTATACATTGGTCTGTCATTTCTTCGTGATTTTACTGGTCGCGACTAGTGTGCACATCAATCTTCTGGTGTGCCTGTCAGTCTTGTCCTCAACCGTCGACGGTGTAAAATTTCCCCAAGCGCCTTGCAGACATATGCCGTCAGTCTTTGCTCCCCTCCCACTTTTCTTCCCTAACCCATGTAAATGTCGAATCAAGCTGACATGTTTACCCGGAGATGGTTTTTGATGAAAACCATCGGCTACGAAAAGGAAAGGATTGCCGTTAGCAATTATTGTTTTGCACTTTTGGCAATTCCTAGCAAGCCGCAATTTTTCACGTTCCCCCTTGTGTAGTAGCGCGCCTATTACGTCGATCTCCTTGTATTTTACTCTTGCCCTGTGTAAACATTCCACAATAACCCACGCCTCTGATTAGTCAAACTCCGTCCACAAGGTTACACAAAGCCTTCTCAAGGTCGTGCTCTCATTGGCTTTCACCTCCCAGGACATAAATCTCTTTGAAGCAGGAGTTATAAGGCAATTTCCTGCCTAATGATTTTAAGCCATGTGGACTGTTGGGCTTTTATTCGATTTTTTTGTTAAATACTTCTAAATTAAGATTAAGGAAAGAAAGGCGTAAGCTCTTTTCATTCTCAAGTCTTGGTTACATTTGGCGATCAGGCCTTAAAAACAGCCACTAGAGAAGGTTTAGTCCTGGCACAACTGTCGGAAGCTGAGGTTACATTATTTATGATAATTTTCCTTTTGTTCTAGTGATAAGTTATTTCAGTCTCTGCATTAATTTCCCTGAGTTTTTTGTGTCAATCAGTTGCTCTTATAACCTGTCAACTTTTCGACTTGAAATGAAGTCCAAGAGTCGCAGTATTCCTCCCAAATACTGTTACTTGGACGCTGCAACTAAAGTAGTTGACAGGTAGGGCTGTGCGTTCTCTGGTTGCTTTGCGATTCTCTACGTTTTTTCGTACACAAGATTGCCAATGTTTTAGTGCATTCTGGGTGGATTTAGATGTCACACAAACTGTTTTCGAGTGTCAGTGCTGACCATATAACCTTGAAATTTTCACTTCCTACAGTCTTCCACACTAAACGATCCTCGGGCCTCTGCTTTCAAGGCAGAGTTCGCGATGAGACTTTAAGGGGGTCGTCTATTTAGGAGTGCGGATCGGAGCTACATTGGAAGTGTTGAATTACAAGGGATTGTTGAGCAACAAGAATTATTACTCCATTGTTTTCAAGATTACTAGGGCGTTTATGGACACGATAATTTAGTGAGGCACATTTTCCTGGAATTTCACTTACTCATCCCAACTTTTTCGCCTATTTACCTAATTTGTAACCAAGGTGCATACTGCCGTTTCAACACTCCGTTTTGTAAAGTACGAACCCTTAAGGCAGTAAGTCCATTCCATGCTGATCATGGAGACTGCAACCCAAGTATTTGTCTGTAAGGCTATGCACGAGTCTTTCCAGAGCTCCTGGAATTTGTGCCTTTTTTTCGTGGGTAGTCAGACCCTCGGTGCTGCTGCTACCACCTGTTTGCGCTCTGATGTTTATGGTAATGGCCTTTCAAACTTATCACCATGACAGCTCATTCTGAAAACATTTTTCAACTCAAGTAACTTCCGTGTTTTCGTGCCAGTGCTAGCACTCTATGAAAAGGCAGTGATCTCCCCTGATTTCTAACACTTGAAGGAGGATAATTTTTCAAGACAACAAGATTCTTGAAAACTTAAATCTGTGTGTTCAGTAAGAGTCGTAGCTGTTTTAACATAAAGTGTAATATTTTCAGTTTTTGTAGGTAAGACAGCCAGCGTTGCATTTTAGCACTTTTTCGAGTGTTGTCGAGTGAACTCGAGGGTGACACATATTCAGAACCTTTGAAATTTATTACCGATGTGAAAGCCTTATTTGGACACATTTTTCATGAACGTTAACACAGTCACTTTTGTATTTTCGCGTTCATCATTTTAATGTCGAATTTTTAAGAAAAGCATTCTTTGAGCTGCGACTAAGGGCGGTGGAATCTAGCACTTGTAGCGATTCTGCCCTTCAAAAGTTAGTATCATATCATTGGAATCGACATGATCCTTGGTCCCTCTTGTCTGTCTCTACAAGAACAAATATGTTAGTCATCGTCTCTCTCATGTCTTCAAACAGTTAACGTCAGTGTTGTTTTAAGAGTATGTATTTTGAAGGCAATGGCTCTACGCAAGACTGACCGTGTATAACGAAACCCAGGGGTCCTAGTGTTTCGCTGGAATGCATTCACTTCAGCTTGAAGAACTTGCATACCCAAGACCACTGTTGCAACATTTCGCCTTATTTCCAGTGCTGCATTACTATTTACGTGCTCAACCTTGGGAAACTGCGATTCTTTTGAGCCACGACCGCGAACTAAGATCAGAAATTCAATGACGATGATGGGCACTGAAATTCAAGTGGCTCTTAAACGGCATCCAGAACGCCAGAACCAGTTACTCGTTTGGATCGTGGAATCCAGTAGCCTTATTGCACTAAAACTCTTGAGTAGCAATTGCGAGAGCGTATTCTTTTAGACTGTTCGGCCCACATTCGCGGCTCTACCGACGCGCATTTCCGTTCGTTCCTCCTCAGAGGCGTCAAGTCCTCCAGAACTGGACAAGGCGCTCCGCAACCGCCTTACGGAACTGACGACTCGCACACGCGTGGTGGTCCTCATGAAGGGCGATCCGATGGAACCACGCTGTGGTTTCTCCAACGCTGTTTGCCGCATCCTCGAGGCGCACGGAGTTTTGGGCAAGCATGACCCCGCCACCGATGCACCTCTTCTCTCATCCTTCGACGTGCTCTCCGACTCCGAGGTCCGCGAGGCCGCCAAACTCTTCTCTGATTGGCCCACCTTCCCCCAGGTCTTTTTTGACGGTGAATTCATTGGGGGATGTGATATCCTCCTCGACATGCACCGGTCTGGCAAACTGGCTGCCGAGTTGGAGCGACGCGGAATTGGATCGCTGCTTACTGAGAGGGAGAAGGGGAAGAAAAATTAAGATTCTGCCAAATCTTCTCTATCACCTTCGTTGTCTCTGTAGACACAACAGTCTTCTCTGTTAGGGTTGTTTTATATTAGTTCATGGCATAGCTTTTAAGTAGACTTTTTAATTGTGGAGTTATCCCATTAGTACAGTCGCATCTTCTGGTGCTCTACTTGAAACTTTAAGCTCCACTGAACAAGTTATAACTGTGACCTTCTAGGCACCTTGATTGCGGCGTCTTAATTATGTCTTCTTGAAGTCTCTTCGTGTTGCAACACTTCAAATCCAACCCAGTAGCGTCTTAAAGGATGACTAGCACCGTGTCTCTTGCTCCATTGAGGCCATTTCACTTTAAAGGCACTTGCAGCACGTTGTCTAGACAATTGGATCGTCATGGGGATGAGTGGTAAATTTTACCCAAAAATGGTTGAAATCTATGCCAGGACTCTTGACTGTCTCTACTCCAGTATTGTCAATAGGAGCGTGTGGGAGTGCAAGGTTTTGTTGTGTCCTCGAACAAGACGCAGACGCGATTGGGTGAGTTGCCATTCCTCAACCCTCTCACCAATCTCAGACATGATTGTTCGTCGCCTAACGACTGTTTTGTTGTTAAGTTCTATTGTATGACTCTTAAATGACCTCTACTCAATATTTATTCGCGATTTCGAGTGCTCGCCTTAAATCATACCTATCACAGAATTTAGTACGTGAGTCCCTCGGGGGCGATCAGTTGGACCCTCCTAAGTAAAACTTCTTCATTTAAGTGCAATTTCTCATTTGATATATGTTGCTTCCTAAGAATGGCGGAACCATATTTATGATCCTTTTTACCGTCCGCATGGATCTGCCAACTCGCATGCAAGATCACAGGTGTAACTGCTTTGCAGAATAGCCACCGAGTCGTCTCGGCACAGCCACCCTTGCTGGCTCTTGCAAAATGCAGACTGACGGGTGAATTTATTATTGGCGGCGGAGATGGGCTGAGGGTTGGAGAGAGGTGCGCCTGAAGCAGAAGAAGAATGGTGGTTTTCGCATCAAAGAGCGTGGGCATGGTAACGCGGTCGATTGGAGTGCCGAGTGGGTTCTACGTATTAGTTGGAACGCAAATCGATGCGCTGTGCAGCAGCTCCTTAACGCCTCCTAATCTCTCACCGACCTCTTGCCTTCAATTTTCTGGGAGTACTTTGTTACTAAGGTCCAGGGCACGGCATTGTTGAGGGAGGATGTCGGATTCTACGGGGTAATGACTTCATTAATTGTGCTCTATCTGATTTTAAAGTTGTCGCCCTGGCATTATTAATGCTTTGTGGGCACTGAAGGCTTTACCTCTGACTTCTGCTGTGCGGCGTGTTCTCAGGACCACGCCAGTAGCCTCCAGCTCTTACGTGCGTTGGCAATACGTATTCTGCCCTAGTGTTAGAGCATCTTTCGTCTTTTGCGAAGCCTTGGGACGCTACATTGGTAGCAGTGAAAAGTAAACCCGATCTCGAGGGACAGCTACCGTGGTTTGTAATATCTGACGGTAAACCTTGATGTGGCACAAGAAGGGTATGTGCTGCGGGTGGGCGAATCTGTGACGATCCCCAACAGAAGAGTTGAGCATGACGCCTACCTTCGGCAACTACCCCACTTTCCTGTTCTGCAGGAAAGCTACTAGCAACTGGATCGACAGTAGCCGTGGCCGTGAGCCATCTGGAACTGTTTGTTACGGCGACGTCAACGGCACCTATTTGAAAATGCCAATCAAGTGAGCACGAGACACCTGCTCCACCTCTCTACCGGCTAGAGAGAACCCAGATGGATATCTGGGTATCGGTGGAGTGGGAATAAGAAGGCAAGGAGGAATAGATGCCAAAACTTATTCCCGCGAAACTATTTTAGATCCAGTCCCTTGTTATCGTTTTACTCTGCTTTTCCGTAAATGTTCCCACGACTAGCGATGGGCACACGAACTGGCCAGCACGTTCTCTCCTCCACCAATACAGTTTCCAAACAGGACAAGCAGGTTTAATGGAATTTCCACGAAGGAATAATGACCCTGCAATCAGAAATCTTCTCTGTTGCACGCAAATTCCATGTCTGCCACGGTTGGTTCGTGGGTTTTTTTCCTTACAGCACCGATTACGTTGTAGTAGGCGAAAC